TTTCCCCTTCATTCTTGAAGGATACTTTTAGATAGATACAGAATTTTAGATTTAGATTAGATACAGAATTCTGGGTTGACAGTTCTTTCAGCACTTGAAAAATGTGCCTTCTGGCACTAATAGTTTCTGATGAGAAACTGATTACAATTCACATGATCTTTCCTGTATGGTTAAGTTGTTTCCCTCTTCCTGCTTTCAATTTTTTTCTTTGTATTTAGTTTTTAGATGTTTGACTGTGATATGCCTCGGCATGAATTTCTCTGGTTAATCCTGTTTGAGGTTCTCTTAGCTTTGTGAATCTGTAGATTTAAGTCTTTTGACAAATTTGGGGAAAGTTCAACCATTATTTCTTCAAAGCCTTTTTTAGCATTGCCCTCTTTCTCCTCCACTTCCAGGACTCTCAGGCCATGAATGTTAAATCTTCTGGTATAGTCTCACAAATTCCCGTGGCTCTATTCATTGATTGATTTCACTCTATTTGCTCTCTATTCAGATTAAGTAATCTCTATTGTCCTAACTTATAATTCTTCTTTGTCTCCTCCATTCTGCTGTTGAGTCCACCTAGTTAATTTTTTTATTTCAGTTATTGTATTTTTAGTTCTAAGATGTTCAATTAGTTCCTCTTCACTGAAATTTTCTATTTTTCATTTTCTTTAGCATGCTCATAAATTACACATTGAAAATCATGATGGCTGATTTTATTACCCTACCAGATAATTCTAACATCTCTGTCACCTTAGGGTGGCATCTGTTGACTGCCTTTTCTCATTTGAGGTTTTCCTGACTCTCGGTATGATGAATGATTTTCAGTTGAAATCTGGACAGTCTGAGTACTATAGGTCCCTGGATATTTTTCAAGTCTTCACTTTATCAAGCCTCCTCTGACACTGCTCCAATAGGGCAGGGAGGCATGCTGCCCCATTACTCCCAGGTGGGAGTGGAAGTTCAGGTTCCCTTCTCAGCTCCCATTGACACTTGGAAGAAGCTTCTTGTTACTGCTGAGCTGGGCGGCAGCTCCAGCACCTCATTAGGCCTCCACTGACACCACCTTGGAAGGTCAGGAGTACCTTATAATAGTCTCCACATGGCCTCCACTTTGGAGGGCCAGAAGGGGGGGACAGTACAGGCTCCCCATTTGTCCTTCTCTGACCCACCCCACTCTCCACTCTCAGGTGGAGGGAGGGTTGAGGCATCTCATAACAGCCTGGCAAGGATGAAAATCTAGGCTCCCCCCTTTGATCTTGGCTGCTGGTGTCGGGTCTACAGTGTTTTCTGTGTTGCTTGGCTGGAGTACAGCAGTTATTGTCTAAATTCTGTTTTGCTATGCTTTCCTTTTCCTGGTCCTTTGACTAAGGAGAGCACGATTTTCCTGGGGCCTTTTTTGTCTGTACCCATTGGAATTCCCAGGCTGCCAGCTTGTTCAGCACCAAGTCTGGAATATATGAGGAAAAAAGAACACCAAGAGAACAGCTGGTCTACCGTCATCTTGCCACCAGTTTTCTCATGTTTGTTTTGTATGGGTTTTTAGATGTATTTAGCAGGAGGAATAGGGACGAGGAATTCTACTCCATATTTCTGAACACAGGAGTCCTCTGGCTTCAAAATTTTCTCTTTATCACTAGTTTTGAGCAACTTTAATATGGTATGTCATGGTGTAGTTTTCTTCATATATTTTGTGCTTGGCGTTTGTTGAGATTCTTGGATAATGGGTTTATAGCTCTCATCAAGTTTAGAAAGCTCTTGGCCATTATTTCTTCAAATATTTATTCTGCTCCCCTCTCCCTCTCCTCTACTTCAGGGACTACAATTACATATATAATTAAGCTGTTTGAATTATTCCCATAGTTCCTTGATGATCTTCATCGTGTCTGAATTCTTTGTTACTCTGTATTTCATTTTAGATACTTCTTAGTGCTGTTTTCTTTTTCCTTTTTTAAAAAGTTTGCTTTAAATACTTCTTTGGGAGAGGGGAGACCACACTTCTACTCAATTAAGAGAAACATTTTTATATTCTAGAGGTCTTTTCATTCTTTTTACAACTATCATGCCATGAATTCACTGGGGATGTGTTTCAGCAGCTCAGGGCCCTTTCCATTGGTTCTCACAAATGGAGAAGCAATTTCCCCATTTATCTGGGTGGAACAGGCTGGCACTTCAGTAGAGTCCAAGTATCTTTTGCTCTGGCTTCCTTCTTTTCCTGATCATTTCCTTCACAAGTGTCAGGAAGCAATCTCAGTTCTTAGAGTACTTAATATGCTCAATATGTGCATTAATTTTCTTGGCAAGAATCTTGCCCTTGTTTGTTTACACCAGTGCCAACATCAGGCTGAGTAACATTGTAGACTCCTCCAGCTTTGCAAGGGTATCATTTGTGGGGCAGTCCTTTTTGAGCAGTGTCCTTTCCCTTGATGTCTACAGTATTACCTCTCTTGTAGATTCACATGTGTGTGGCCAAAGGAAAAATTCCATGGTTTCTAAAAGGCCTAGAGAATACATAAAAGGTACCTCTCCACTTTCTCTTTATGTTGGTAATTTTGGCAAATGGCCAGAAGATGGAAGGTCCGGCCAAAAGGCTCGTGCTATTTTCCAATTCACTGATCTTTTCTTCTGCAATGTTGAATCTGCCATTAATTCTAGTATATTTTTCAACTCAGGCATTGTAATTTAATCAACAGAATTTTGATTTGAGTCTTTAAATATCTTGCATGTCTCTACTTAACTTTTGAACATATAGATTATACTGTCCTTGTCTGTTAATCCTAACATGTCAGCCCTGTTTAGGATTAAATTGCTTGATTATTCTCATTATGAGTCATGCTTTCCTGCTTCTGTACAAGTTGGGTAATCTTTGATTAGATACCAGATCTTGTGAATTTTACCTTGGGTGCTGGATTATTTTTTTATTTCTATAAAGATTATTTAGCTTGGTCTGTGATGTAGTTAAATTATTTGGTGACAGATTGATCCTTTGGGGTTATTTTATAATTTGTCAGGCAGGACTGGTGCACTGCTCAGTCTCAGGCTCATTATTTCCCACTATGGAAGCATGACCTTTATGATTTCTCTACCCAAGATCCCACGAATTCTGTTTTTCCAGTCTGTGTAGTGGAAGGAAGCACTGTTCCTGGCCCTGTGCAACCTTTTGACATTGTTCCCTCTAATTCATTCTAATGGTTCTTTCTGTGGTCTCAGGTAGTTGCCTCACTGGCATGTACTGCTCAGTACTCTGCTAAGTACTCAAGGGGATTATCTCTGCAGATCTCTGAGTTCCCTTTCAGCCCAGGTATCTTCTCTCCTGTCATCTGTCCTGCAAACTCTAGCCTCCTTGGTCTTACCAGGTCCTCATCTACATCAATGCAACTCATGGGGTAGGATGGCTCCATTCTGGCACCCCTCCTTGTGCCACAGCCTGGAAACTGTCAAAGCATAAAGCTGGGGCAAACACAGGGCTTACCTCTTTTGTTTTCTGATATGAGATCACTGTTCTTCATTGCCTGAGATCCAATTTCTTGAAAAGCCATTGTTTCGTATGTGTTGTCTGAGTGTTTTGGCGGTTCCATGCAGGAGGGTAAATCCTGTCCATTACTACATCTTGTCCTTCTCTCCTTGGCATTTGGAAGGTGTAGCCCCTAGACCTCTGTAGATTATGTGCTCCCCTGACTCCCTTCAGTCTCTCTGGCTGATCCTTACTGGGTGGTCTCCTGACTGGGGTTTATGCCAGGCTCTCTTTAGCACATTCCCCCAGATCACACTCACCCCACAGATTCCATTTATACCTCTATGCTGACCTTCACCTTCAAACCAGACTAGAACCCCAAGTTCCACACCCATGTCTCCTACTGCCCATCTTGCAGTGCCCCCTCAAATGGGTCATAGGCACATTAAATACAACCCATCCAAAACTGAGCTCACCATCCTCTCCCCAGAACTGCTGCCCCTCCAGAACACATCTTTAACCCATCTTCATCAATGGCACTGCCATTAACCCAGGCCAGAGACCTAGGAGTCAGCCTTGTACCTCCTTCCCCCTTATTCCCACCTCCTGGAATAACTCAGGGCTATCAGTTCTACCGTCTAAACATCTCTGGACTGGCACTATCTCTGCCACCATTGCTCTCACCTGCACCACTCTTATCCAGACACCTTTCCTCAAACAAGTTGCCAGAGGAAAACTTCTCAAATGCAAATCTAACCATGACACCCCTTGTGAGGACCTTCCAGTGGCCTCCTATGTGCTTAGGGAACTCTCTTTCCCAAGACAAGTAAAGCCCTTGATGAGCTGGCCCTTGATGAAGTCTTGGGCCTCTTGCCCAGATTCCATCGCTTCTTCAGAAGTCAAGAGGCCTGAACAGCTGGATTGTAATTGCCCGTATAACTGAACGCTTCTCTGCTAGAATGCCTGTTCTCTGACGCTGGAAGTTATGCCTTCCACTACCCCCTGCTCTGCCACCAACAGTGCACGTGAAGATAAGGCTGCTGAGAGAGGGTGTAAAAGGCTGCTGCTGGGGTCGAGTGCACGTTCCACTACTCACACTGACTGTGTCATCTTGAGCAAAACATTTTCGGCCTCAGGTTCCCCATAAGTAAAATGGGTGCAATCATCCCTCTCTCCTCAATATGTCAGAATCAAAAGACAAAAATATTTGTCTCTGTTAACCACAGCGCCACACGTTCGTCCCTTCCACCGCATTTTGCCCGACAATTATAAAAGTTCCTGGCCCAGAAGCAGGGGTGGACGAGGGGGAGGCTAACGAGCACCCAGGGCGCAGTTCGTGCGCGCTTAGGCCACCTTTAGACTGGGCGTGCCCAAGACTTTCGCGCTCCGGAATCCCGCAGGCCTCTCCGCCTCTGCGGACCCGACGCAGGAGGCAACAAACGTACCGGAGAATACCACGCAAGCTGGTATACCAGCACTGCGTCCGCCCACCGCGAGCTGGCTTCCGGGGCGGAACGAGGCGCTCTTCTATTGGCCCTGTTCCGTGACGTCACCAGGGCGCGCCTCACCCCGCTTTATTTAGGGGAGTCGCAAGGTGCTGTTACCGTAGTTCTTGGGGCTTGTCACTGTCGTTGCGACGTGTTGCCCGTGCTCGGGCGCCCGCCGACCTTGGCTTCCGGCCCCGCGAGCTCTATCCCGACCGCACAGCACGCCCGGCAGGACTGGCCGCCGTGGCCAGGTAGGTTGGTGGGCCAGGCCAGGCCCTAACCTCCATCGGTCCGGCTAAGGGCAGGACTGACCTAGGGCCCCGGACGCTCAGACCACACTGACAAGGCGGGTCCTCGAGCGCCTAGTGAGAGCCGGGAACAAAATTGAGCAAGAGAGAAAGTAGGGGACTGGCACAGGATTCCAATCAAGTGGGTGGTGGGACGCGGTCCAGCGTACAAACCCAGGTCTCTGGCTGCGATGCTTGTGCTCTTACTGCCTTTTGCTTAAGGACCTCTTACTAGAGTTGGATTGAGCTCATGCTCTGTTGCATCGTGGTTACCCAGAAGCAGTGGGCCCACTTTTGATTGCTACTTTGGCAGAGAACCTCACCTCCTTAAGCCTTATTGCCTCTGTTCTGCCTGAGGAGATTGCTGAGGGCAGAATGAGAACCTGCTTGTGCCTGTCATGTGGGAAAGGGCACAGTCAGTGGGTCCTGGGGTGGTCTTGGAGAGCAGGTGATCCACCTTACCACTGAGGCAGCAGCCAGAGGCCACCAAGTTTTCCCCAGCAATGATAACACCCCAGCAGACAGGGTGTCCATGAGCCCTCTAGATCTCCACTTGTGAGTCCAACCCCTACCACTCCTAGGGCACTTTAGCCAAAGCCAAGGACTCCAGTGGCACCTGGATGGGGATTCAGGGCCCAGCTCTTTCATCTCCTTGGGAACTTGGGCAAATCCCTTAACCTCTCTAAGCCTTAGTTTTTCATCTGTAAAGTGAGATTGACAGTTCCTGTCTTTCACAATTGTCAAAAGAATTAAATCAGACCTTGTAGATAAAGCACTTAAAATAAGATCTGGCCTTCAGTGGGAGCAGTTATGGTTATTTCATGTGTGGAGTGTCTGAGTGTGAGCACTTTGGTTTGAACAGCCTTTTGGAAGCTTATGGACAGCTTATGTTCAATAAGCTTATGGAAGCTTATTGAACAGCTTATGGAAGATAGGAGGGCAGAGGTTTCAAAGCCCCTGGTTTTCTGGTCAAACTCTGGACCACCAGAGTGGTCAGATCAGTGACCTGCTTCTAATGAGTCCTTGAATTTGGCAGACTGAATCATTGGTGTGAGGACCAGGAGTTTGGGACTACCTCCATGTTCCTGACCACAGCGAGCTACTTTTCAAAGCAAGGAACCATTCCGGAGTAGGACTGTTTGGAATGGAGGCCAGACTTAGATTAGAAACAAAACAAGGGAAGGGAATTTTTCTTCCCGTGGAGCCTGGAACTCAAAATAGGACCTGACCCTGTTAATACCTTCTAAGTGATTTGCGGAGGGAAGGCACAGCCATGCCTCCTGAGGTTGACAAACACCAAGCTTTCCCAAGTAGTGAAAAGTCAAGCCCCAGCTTCTGGCATTTGTTCATTCCAACAGAGTAGTTGAAACCCTTCCATATTCCAGGCACTGTGCTGGGCACTGTGGACTCAGCAAGGAGTGAAGGAGACAGACAGAGAGGAGAGGAGAAAACCCAGTGATGCCTGTCAAGCCTAAGCCCTGCCCTTGGTCTGTAGCCTCTTCCCTCAGACAGCCTCTGCTCCAGCAGGAGGAATGAAATAATTGCTGTCTGGAGGGGCAGGTGGGGACAGCTCCTAGAAGGCTGGGGCAACCTGATGGTGGTTCTGGCTTGGTCATGTGAGCAGTGGAAAGCATTTTCAGTAGGAAAGTAACAGGACCAAACTGGCATTTAAAAAACTGCTCGTGGTGGCTGTGAAGCCAGTTTTAGTAGGGGTCACTTGCCCATGCTAGGCCCCACTCTTGGCGAATTCCTAGTGCTGCTCATTTTAGCCCTACCCTGCTCAGTTCAGCATCGCTTCCTCGAGAAACTAGACAAAGGCACAGAAGGGTCTCAGTTGCCAAATCTTAACAGCCATCAGTGGTCAACATCAGTCTCCCTTGTGAGCAGGATAGTCGGGCTGGTTGTGTCTGATCTCCACTGCACAGTGCCTCAGTGATGCCAGGTACAGTGAGCTTCAGAGAGCACTGGTTGAAGGAACACACTGGAATCCCTGGCACCTAGCTGAGTGCCTGGCATGAGTAGTCACTCCTCTAGAAATGTTTCATTGCACACATTGAATGAAGCAAAGAATCACCTTATAAAGTGTAAGGGTGAAATAAGTCTGAACCACTCCCATGTGCCAGCAATGGCTGATGCAGTGAAGGGACCTGAGCTGCAGCTTGAGGGGCTTTGAGAATTCTGATGGTGGTTGCCAGCTCCGTCTGCCCTCTTTTCTCTCCATAGGCTCTGATGTTGGTCTCTTGTAGAAGAAGGCTGCTCACAGCTCTGCTGCAGGCTCAGAGGTTGCCCTTTCAACCCTCTAGAGATATGAGACTGGTGCAGTTTGAGGCACCCCACCTGCTGGGGCCTCACCTGGGCCTGGAGTCAGGGAATGGTGGGGGCATCATTAACCTCAACGCCTTTGACCCCACACTGCCCAAGACGATGATGGAGTTCCTGGAGCAGGGAGAGGCCACTCTGTCAGTGGCGAGAAGGTAAATCAGCAGGCAGCAACCCCCTGCAGCAGCTGCCCTATTACCCTCCCTCCTCCCACCCTCACCCCCTACCCTGGAAACTGGAACCAGCAGGTAGCTCTTTTGCAAGGGAGCAGGGCAACCCCACCTTTCTTGTCTCACCTGTTCTTAGGAGAACTTTAGAGATCTTATGTGGCAGCATCCTCAGTTTACTGAGGCCCACTGAGGGTGATTAACTGGCCACACATTTGCTAGTGGACCCAGAACTTCGTCACGCTGCCTTCCTCAGGGGTTAGTCTCTGCCTGCCTGAGGGGTCTGGGACTTGAGGTCCTAAGACATCTTGCGAAGCTGGGGGAGTGATTAGACTCTTGGCTTCTTGGAGGAGAGAAAACTGCAAAAAGGTTTAAAGATGGTTCTTGGGTTTGGGCTACATTAGGTGGGAACTTCACTGAAGCCAGGAGCCTTGTGGAATCTGGTCTAAAGGTTGATGAATAGTAAATAAAAAACCACTTTGAGGGATAATTTTCATATGTTAAACTGGCAAAAATACAAGTGTTTGAGAGCACACAGTGTTGGGAGCAGTATGTTTTCCATACTGTCATATTCTTGCAAGAATGGAAAACCACTTCTGTGTCCCTCATTAGGGAATTGGGGTGTATCTCTACTGTGCATTAAAACACAGTCACACAAAAAAAGAGGAAGCTATATACTGTGAGGGAGGATCTCCAAATAAATAAATAAATATAATTTTTTAATATGTATTTTTTATTTTTTAAATATGTATGTATTTTAAAGGTATATTTGGTGTGCTATAATTCTCATAAAAAAGGGTGGGAGGAGCAGGTGGCTGTGAAAATCTACACAGGACACAATGGTTGTACAAGGATGGAGCCAGATAACTAGAAGGGGTAGGAGAGAGACCCTTCCATTATTCCCATGTGTACCTTTTGAATGATCTTACATGGACATGTATTACCTAATGAGGGAAAGGAAGTCAACACTGGATAAAAAATAAATAGTGCTGTGATATCAAAGGACAATAACTGGGCTTGATTTTCATACTGACTGATGGTTGATAGATCTAGAAAATATTTCAAGAAGTAAAAACAGCTGCTGTAGGATGTCTCCTGCATGCCCAAGGGTTGCTGGCCTGCTCCCAGTCAGCTGCTCTCCCCTGCTGTGGTCTCTGCAGAGCCCTGACTGTCCAATTGCCAGTCCTACCACGGTCAGAGGTGACCTTCCTGGCCCCAGTCACACGACCAGATAAGGTGGTGTGTGTGGGCATGAATTATGTCGACCACTGCAAAGAGCAGAACGTGCCAGTGCCCAAGGAGCCCATCATCTTCAGCAAGTTTGCCAGCTCCATCGTGGGGCCCTACGATGAGGTTGTCCTACCCCCCGAGAGCCAGGTCAGTGCCTCTCCCTGCCTTCCCAAACCACTGGGGTCCATTTCAGGGGTGCCCAGCACTCAGCATCCAGCATTAAACAGAAACTACAGGGGATTCTACAATAATGACCAGTCTCAGAAAAAAGAAATTAATTTATGTCTTTTATGATTACAAAAGTAATATATCTTCATTACAGGAAATTCATAAAACTCAGTATGCATCTTCCAAGAATAACATGATGTCTCACATGACCATAATATCATTATTACAACTAGAAAATCAACATGAATAATATCTAATATATAGTCCAATTGGGAATATTCCCAGTTACCCACAAAGATGACTTGTAATTTGGGTACTGTTTTGTTTTTTATTTATTTGTTGACATAATCAATCAAGACCGCATTGTATTTGATTATGTCTCTTTAGTGCCTTTAGAATAGGGACCCACAGACTTTTTCTCAAAGGACCAGTTAGTATTAGACTTTGAAGGTCATATAGTGTCTCTTGCAACAGCTCAGCTTTGCCACTGCTGTGTGAAAGCAGCCATGGCTGATGTATAAGTGAACGAACATTTCTCTGTTCTAGGATAACTTTATTTATAAAAAACAGGCAGTGAGCTGTATTCAACCTACAGGCCACAGTTTGCTGACCTCTGATCTCAAACAATTCCCCTGCCCTTTTATATCTTTCATGACAGTAACTTTTTGAAGAATCCAAACAAGTTGTCTCATAGCATATCCCACGCTCTGAATTCGTCTGGTTGTGTCCTCATGATTCAATTCAGGTTAAACATTTTTGTCAAGAGTTCTTCGCAGGTGTCTTAGTTCATTTGGGCTGCTGTGACAAAATACCAGACTGGGTGGCTTATAAACAGAAATTCATTTCTCACAGTTCTGGAGGCTGGGAAGTCCAAGATGAAGGTGCTGAGAGATTTGGTGCTTGGTGAGGGCCCTTTGCCTGGTTCATAGAAGACTCTTTGCTATATTCTCACAAGGCAGAAGGGGTAAGGGAGCTCTCTGGGGTCTCTTTTATAAGGACACTAATCCTATTCATAAGGGCTCCACCCTCATAACCTAATCACCTCCCAAAGGCCCTACCTCCTAACACCAGCGCATTGGAGGTTAGGTTTCAACATGAATTTTGGAAGGACACAAACATTCAGTCTATAGCAACAGATGTGCACTCACATTGCATCCCACTGGGAGACTTATGCCAGGTGGTCCTAAAGTTTGACCACTTGGTGTACCTGGTGTTGGCTAGATCTCCCATCGCAGAGGCATACTGCCCTGTGGTACTGGATAAACACTCTGTAGCACAGCAGTTTGAGACCATGTGACCATCTCATTGCCCCAGTTTCTCATCTAGGGATCCTCTGGTCACTCTTACTTGAATCCCTTATTGTATTGGGGAATAGAAAAGGATGATTTTTCTATCATACCTTCGATCCTTATTAGCTGGCATTCTGTGAAGAAAAGCTACCTCCCTCCTTTTCTTTTACTCCTGTTCCTTTAGTATTACTGTGTGATACCAGTATTCCTGATCTTTATTTTATCCAGTACGTTATAATCCATCACTTACATTCTTTTGGATATCAAACAGTCTCAGTTTGACCAGTGGGGGGCTTCAGGTGAGCCCCCATCCCCATCACTTCCTTGCTTTCTGGCCAAGGTATTATTCTAGGCTGATCTTGTATTCTGTCTCAGACCTGGAATTAGCCATTTCTCCCAAGGACCCAGTTCTTTCTAGTGGGGAGTTAGATACTAGAGACCAGGACTGGGTGTCAGGTGCTTATAGCAGCCCTGGTGGTTACCCCGAGGAAGAGCAGCCAGTCTGAGGGGCTGAGTTGTATCTTTTGTAGTTTATGCTGATTATGGGAAAGGCTGAGCACGTTTTCGTTGTTTTGTGGCCATGTCTCTCTTTGTGAATTGCTTGTTCAAACTGTTGCCCGCATTTATTTTGGCGTGTTGATCATCTTATCATCTGAGTTAAAACATTAAAACACCATAATGGTCCTCAGCAGTGGTAAGGTTAGCTATTACTACTTGGCATTCATCCTTTTCGGAAGTATCAAGAGTAACAGGCAGCCCCTCAGCAGGGGCCCCAGAGCCAGGCAGCTCACTGCCCCTCTCCCACTCTACAGGAGGTGGACTGGGAGGTGGAGCTGGCCCTAGTCATTGGAAAGAAAGGCAAGCACATCAAGGTGAGGGGGAAGGGGTGGTGCCAGCTGTCCCTGGCACTGGGAAGTGGTTGGCACCTATCTGCTCCCTCACTCTGCCTTGCACCTTGCCCATCACCTTTGTCTGGCCCTAACTACTAATGTGTAGGATAAAGGCTTTTGTTATAGGGGTTGGTGTCACCATGATCTAACCTCCAATCTGGCCAAAGACCACAGATGCCATGGCTCATGTGGCTGGCTTTACTGTGGCTCATGACGTGAGTGCTCGTGACTGGCAAATGAGACGCAACGGAAAGCAGTGGCTGCTGGGAAAAACCTTTGACACTTTCTGCCCCTTGGGCCCTGCCTTGGTGACCAAGGATAGTATAGCAGGTAGGTCTCTGACACCCTGCATAGTGACTCTTCCTGTGCTCACAGTTATGTTAGAGTAAAGCAAAGTAACTCTCAGGCAGTGGGAGTGTGGGGTATGGCTCCATGTGGAGCCCACAACCTCCCCTGCCACTGCCAGCTGCTTTTTGCTTATTCCTTAGCAAGCCTCCCAATCTGGGTCACACATTCTTAGCAGGCCTCCTTCCACATGCCCTCATCCACTAGAGGACAACTATACAGGTGGGGAATCTGATTCTTCTAGTTGCCACCATCCATGAGAGCCTTTAAGTTAGAAAGAAGCAAAGCTGGCCCTTAAGCATGACAGAGAATAGTTGTCACAAAGCCTATGCCACTCCTGTAGTAAGGGACCTGGCCCAACCACATGTTACCAGGGCAGCCCCAGCTACAGATAGCAAGGACCCAGTGAGCCAGGAGGGAAGACTGGTTGAGATGGCAGAGTGCAGCCATTTGGGTGGGGGCCCATCCAGGTGGTTCAGCCTCACACCATCCTGAGCAGTTGGTCATCAGCACAGTGAAGTCATATTCCAGCTGTGCTAAGGTGTGTGTATGTGTAAAACAGTACAGGTTAGAAATGCCCCCTGGCCAGGACACTACTCCAGGTCGCCGCCCCCTGCTGTCAAATGCCCCTGCTCAAGCTGTTACCTGTTGCTTTATAGATGCCTGGTCAGTTTTATATCTGCAGTTGTCAGCCTCTACTGTGGATAGATGTCCATTATTAAAGGCAAAACAGCAGTTTTTCTCCCCCCACCCTTGAAGGTCTGGACATCGTCTCCTGAGCCCACCCGTGACCACTGGCAGGTGCTGTGCTAGGTGGTGGGTGCAGGGAGGCCTGAGGCAGCCTGTGCTTTCCTGTCCTAGCTGAGTACAGGGTGAGTTTGAGGAAGAACAGAGAACCCCAAGGTGTTGCTTTTGCATTTCAGATCCACACAACTTAAAGATCTGCTGCCGTGTGAACGGGGAGGTAGTACAGAGCAGCAATACCAACCAGATGGTGTTTAAAACAGAAGAGCTGGTAGCCTGGGTGTCCCAGTAAGTGGGATGGGGCCACGGCCTACACTCACTCAGGCTAAGCTTAGCCTCCTTTTCCTGGCTTTGGCCACCTTGGCTCCTGGTCACACCTACCCTTTTGCCCCAGGTTTGTCACGCTTTACCCAGGGGATGTCATCCTGACTGGGACCCCTCCAGGTGTCGGTGTATTCAGGAAACCTCCCGTCTTTCTCAAGGTAGGTTGGCTAAAAGGAACAAGGGGAACAAGGACCCAGCAGGCCAGGCAGGCTTGGCAGAGACTCAGGAAATCCAGGCCCATTTATTTGTGTAGGGGTGTGTGTGTATCAGACCAAAGGACTTAACACTCTGGCGCCTGATCTGTTGCAGAAGGGTGATGAAGTCCAGTGTGAAATTGAAGAACTAGGTGTCATCATCAACAAGGTGGTGTGATGGCTCCTACCACATGCCCTGGACTAAAGACAAGAGGAGGGGCATCCACTCTTGCCCAACCCAGGAGGAGGCCAGGTGCCAGCCTCCTCTTCCAGGTAGCAGGAAAGGAGGTGGAGCTCTTCTCAATAAACGTCTCAGGCCAAAGCAGCAGCTCGGCTTCTGCCACTGTCTGTTGTTCTTTGGAGTCTGTTTCAGGGAGTGAATACAGCATTTCCACGGGAAGGAGAGAGCAGGCACAGACACATAGACACACAGAGACACACACACACACACACACTCACTCTCTCTCTCTCTCTCTCTCTGCTGGACTTGAGAAAAGACTTTTCCACTCCCTTCATTATTACACCAAAGGATAGAGAAAGCCAGAGATGACAAGGGACAAAGATTTTATAGTCCAGCTAAGGGTTTGCTTCCTCCTCCTGGTCTTATGGCTCCAGGACTTGGCTGAGAGGTCTCTGCATGGGCTCCACCCCACGTTCTAGCTACAGATGAACTGCTGGATGAACTGTTCCAGCTTCTTCTGATTTTCCCGGATGGCAAATGTAGGGGACAGGTGGAGCATGTGGCCTGCTGGGCTGGGCGTCTGCTGCAGCACCTGAGCCACAGAGAAGGGCTGCGAGTCCTTCTAGCACAGTTGAGCTTCCCTAAGCAGGGATGTGGGGTGGGGAGTGGGGTGGGGGGCAGGTGGCAGAACAGGAACAGAGCTTGCCCCTCACCCCTAGGTCTCTGAAGGTCCAGATAGCGTTGAAGGCTAGATTTCGGTCGGCACACTCTGGAGGGAAGAGAAACAAAAGCTATAGGGAGGGCAGGGAAACAAGAGGCACATGCCTCTCTCTCTTTTTTGTTGAAAGAAGGAACTACTCCCCCAAGAACCGCTGGGACAACCTGAAGGCCCTCTCTGCAGCCCTCTTTCCTGGAGTTAGTCTGGCACTGCCCAGCAGGGGGCAGCAGCCACCAGCAAACCCGCCAGCCTCCCAGGAGCCTACACTGGCTGCTTGGGACTCACCAAAGAACCCGTCCTCCTGGGCAGTGGCCTGCAAGAACTGGAACAGCTGCTCCACGTAGCCCAACTCTGCAGGCCAGAGAAGACCTGAGCCTGGGCCCCCACAGGCAGAGCCCATGCCCAGAACTCGCAGCCGCCCCCTGTGGATGGCTGGGGAAGCGCATGCCTCACCCGTATCAGGCAGCCGTCCCTGGTGGAGGAAGGTAGCAGCCTGCGCAAAGGCCTTCAGCAGTGGGCTGAGCAGGCGGCAGAGGAAAAGGAAGAAGTCAGGGCAGCGAGACTGCTGACTGAGCTGGAGAGAGACAGGAGTGGGTGAGGGCAGCTCCCACTGCTTCCCTACTGCCACCCCTCCACCCCACCCCCAGGGCTTCTCCCAGCGCACCCTGAAGTACCGGCCCTCGGCCTCGTCGAAGTCATCACTGTCACTATCAGTGAAGTCCCCACTCGGTTTCCATAGCAGCTTTGCAGTCAAATGCCGTCGCCCTGTGTCACAGGCTGGCTGGGAGCCTGGGTTCTAGGGGCCATGGGAGCCATTGGTCCCTGTCAGGCTGGCCAAGGTTCAGCCCTGAGTCTCCCAGACCAAGTACGTGGCAGGCCAGGCACCCAGAGATAAAATTAGTCAAAGCAGAGCAAGGGACACCTGGGCCACACCAACCATGGCACCTGCTGAGCCCACTTGCAGGGTAAGAGGAAATGTGCACCCACTCTTATGGGCCACAGCCCTGTGGACAAGAAATGTGGGAGCAGGTATACAGAGAACCTCAGAGGCACACTCATCCAGCCCTGTCATGGCAGATACACATGGTCCCAAACAGAGAATGGCAGAGGTGGGACCCAGGGTTCCTGTCTGCTGGGCCAGGGGGCTGCCCACCCCACAGCGCACATGGGGCAGAGGAGCAGCCAGGGGAGTTGTCGCTCAGGGTGGGAGGCTGAAGGAGGCTGGGCCCCAGCAGGGGCTTTGTCTCCAGCTGCCCTGCCTACCTACCTCCTCAGCAACCAGGAGCCCACACTGGATGAGACGGTCCAGGACCTCCTGACAGTAGCAGTAGGAAGACTGGCAGGGCTAGGGAGAGAGGCATCGTGTGGTTCGGAGAGCCAGGCCACGGGCAGGGCAAGGCAATCTACTGCCATAGGTTTGGGGTGGGTTCAGGCCAGCACAGGCCCCTCTTACACCCAGAGGGGTGGCAGAGCACCAGTGGGAGAGGCCTGACCTGTGGCAACAGCAAGTCCTGAGGCAGCAAGTGGAGTAGCAGCAGGATCTGGTGGTACAGCTCGTTCTGGCCCAGCAGTTCAATGCCCTGCAGCTCCCAGGGCCCCTCAGGTGGCACTCTGCCCACCAGCAGTCCCCGCACAGCACAGGCTGTGGGGGGAGGGGCTAGGCATGAGGAAGGAACCCGTTTCCCTCACCCCTACCACCCAACCCACTGGAGCCCTGGGGACTCACCACCCACAGCCTCACTCAGGAAGGCAGGCAGCAACTCGGCGCTCAGGCGTGCCAGGTGTGTGAGACCTGGGCCTGGCCGAGGGACCACCAGAAGGTCCCCCTGGTGGACGTGCAGCAGGGCCACGTGTGCCTGCAGCAGACTCAGTGTATACTGTACCAAGCACCGCAGCAGCCCAGAGAAGCCCACGTCAAAGCCGCGCAGCAGCGTCTCCTCCGTCAGCCAGGAGAAGTCCCCCAGGAGCTGCGACAGGAACACACCCTGGGCCAGCAGCAGGACAGGGGCTGAGCAGGGGCCGCCCCTTACCCCCAGCCCCCACCACACTGCCCCCTACCTTTCGGTGCTTGAAGAGCAGCAGCGTTGCCATAATGGCCGTGCTCATCACTGCGGAGCTCGCCACGCTGGCTGGGGGTGCGGGTGCTGGTCAAGACTGAGGCCCAGCAGCCCAGCCACTCCCTTCAACCCCTGTCAAGCCTTTCCAGCCAAGATCTCTCCTCCCTTGCCTCCCTGGCAACAGCCACACCGCAGACACACAACTCCACCCCAGGTAAGAGGTGCAGGCCTGAACCTTGAGTACCAGCAGAGAAGTGGCACTTATGAAATAGCTGGGAACCAGGCTGGGAGCTCAGGGGCCTTCCTTGCCTTACAAAGGCCTGCCCACTGACCCACAGCCTCCACACTGAAGGGATGTTTGAGGAAACAGGAATAAAGACAATCCTATTTAGAGCCCTCTCTGTGCCAGATAATGTGTTAAGTCCCTTCCACACATTATTCCATTCAATTAACATCACCCTCATTTACAACTAAGGAGACCAGGCTCAGAGGTGATGTAAGGCACTGAGGCAGAGCCGGATGCCCTCTGCACAGCTCACCCTCTATGCAGCTCTGAGCACTCACTCAGGGGTTCCCTTATGGCCGCCCTCCTCCTCAGGGGCAGGGGCTGTTCCACTCCTCTTCACACATCCCAAGCCAGCCACACGGGTGAGGGTGGAGGGTCAGGTGCAGAAACACAATTAGAATGGAGGGTCCTGGCAACTAGCCAGCCCAGAGAGAAGGGACGACTCAGGAGCCTCCCCTGAAGGCCCAGACCTAGTTCTCCCTCACCACTCAGGACATGGCGGCTCAGCCTCCTGACCAGGAGCTGGTCCTCTTCCTTGAGGGCCAGAAGGGGCCCAGTTACTGGGGTCCACTCCTGCTCCTTCTCAGTGTCTGGGATGACCGTACTGGGATAGAGACACACAGATCACAGGATGAAGAGACCAACCCTAAAAACAGTCGTGGGAAAGCCCATAGCTTTCTCAGAGGAGCATGTTCCCCATCCCCACCCTGGGGCAAGAGGTTGTTCAAGTAACCCCAGCCTTCAGGCCTGTGTGCCAGGCCCTATGCTCAGATTATAGGCAGAGTGGGGCCAGGCACTGTTCTAGATGACCCAAGGCTACCTGGTGAGAGAAGGCTGGAGCTGGTGATGTGTTTGTGGGTATGGGAGAGGGTGTTGCCAGCTCACAAGCTGGGGCCAAAGGGCTGCCTGCGTTGCCCACCCGGACCCACACACTGCCCTGTCCCTACCATTGGCCCAGCACGATGGGCTGCAGCAGCTGCTCCAGGGTCTGCCTGCTGCCCCAGCAGCTTCTGGAGTTGATGGTGTACTCCTGCCCATGACAAGGCTCTCAGGTGGCCTGCCCTGGTCCACCAGGGCACCTGCACACAGCCCACCTAAAGTAGCAAGGCTATCCCTGCCATGGCTTTGAGGGCCAGGTGCCAGAAGTCCCAGAGCAGATCCCAGGTACTCCCAGACTTGCCCAACAGGCTGCATACCTGCAGGGAGAAGGGCTGGGCCAAGTGCACCCGGACGCAGACCCTGTGGCTGCAGCCCCAGCCTTGCAGGCTCTGCAAGACAGCCAGAGCTCCGGTCCACAGCCCCAGTGGGGCTGAGACCTGCAGGGAGGGAGGGGCTGAGTAAGTTGGCCTGCTTAAGGCACCACTTTCTGCTCAACTTCATCTCAGCCCCAAATTAGTGCATGACCATGGCCTTTCCAAGTATGTTTTCTCATCCATGAAACAGGAGAAATCCCTCCCTAGTGGAATCTTTTGAAGATGAAATGAGAGGGTGACTGTAGCAGCCTTGGCAGGTGCCACAAAATGACTATAAATAACAGAATTCCTTTGCATTCCCCCCTTGACCTCAGGCCTAAGAGGGGACTTAGCCATAGGACACAATAATGTGCCTGCTCTCTGGAGATGGTGTCCACTTGGGATCCCAAGAGGCAGGAGGGTCTCACATGGCGCGTGTCACAGGATGCATCTGGAACCAGGTCATAGGTGGTGGCCACTGGGACCAGCATAGCATCTGGGACGATGCCCACCTGCACTGCCTGTACCACTAGTCCCAGCCAGGTCTGGCCCAAGGCTGACAGCCGAGGCCCCTGGGCCCCAGGGGGCTCCTCCAGGAAGATGAGCAGGGGCTGTCCACTGGCCAGCAGCTGCTCTATAGCCTGGAAGAGGGTAGGGGAAGGTGGGTGTCAAGGCCAAAGCAGCATCAGGCCCCTGTACCCTGGCCTGGCCCCATATACAACCACTAGGGGCACTCACCGCACATACCACAGCCCTTGCAAGGACCCCCTCAGAGCTGTCCAGGGAGTTGGCCTCTGGGGGCAGGAAAAGTCCCCCAAGCTTCTTAAGCAGAGCTCTGTGGGGCACAAGGCAGAGCCTGATGAGGGAAGGGGCTTGAGAGAAAGAACCAAGCAGGAGGCTAGTGAGAGCCTCAGTCCATCCAGGGCCAATCTGCTTCCTGCCTGAGCACTCAGAGGCCAGGCGTGACCCTACAGCCAACAGCTGACCCTATGGCTGAGCCCCCCAGGCTGAGATGGCAGAAAGTTGGGAGCAGAGAGGCCAGGAAGAGCACCTCTGGGGCACTCCTGCTAGCAACCTCTCCACACACACCCACACACCCTTGCCCCACCTGGGGACTGCTCCCCTGTACATCCAGGGGCACAAGACTTTTACCTGAGGGTGGGGGAACAGGTGCGGAGATCCCAGGCCACACGGAGCACACCCAGGCCCTGGGAAAGCAGCACAAAGGGCAGCAGGAGCCCATCCAGCAGTGACTTGTGGGTAGAGAGGAGGACGAGCGGCAAACCCTGCTCGGGGAAAGCCAGGAAGAAATGCCAATCCACCCACCACCCTGAAGGTGCAAGGGGCTGAAACTCAGCGCCTCCAGACCCAGGGCGGCCCCAGAGGAAGGGAGGGTTCAGAAGAGAAGTTCTTCCTCTGAGCGCATTTCCCAAAGTTGATGAGCTCTGTCAACAACTTTTAAGGTAATGCACTGATGTAATGGTTAAGACCATGATGAAAAGACGTTAGAGGAAGCCCCGTGGGAGCTGGGCCGTGAGACCTGAAGAGAAGGTCATCAGAGAGCAGTGGATTTTTCCCACCAGCTGATGGGGCCTCCGCTCCTTCTGTCCCCACCAGCCCCACCCCATGGGGGGCGGGCCTTACTGACTGGGCGGCCTTGCGGACCATCTTCATCTGGCCCTTGTGGAGCTGCACGTTCAGGAAAACACAGTTCAGGAAGCGCAGCAGTGCCCAGCTGAACAGCCTGAAGAGCAACACCCAGCCTGAGGTGTGGTGGGGCACCACCCTCTGGGCGGGGTCCCACTGTACCTGGAGGCCCAGCACTCCCCTAAGGTGGGTGCTATTACCACCCAACTTTGCAGGAGAGGAAAGTGGGGCTGAGGTCACAGAAACTGCTGAAGAGTAAAGAAAGCTAAAAAATGGTGGTGCTGGACCTGGAAGGAGGGCCTGACACCAGAGAACATAGTGAGGTGCTGATGCTCTCCCAAGACGGTATCTGGGTGCAGGGGCCTCTCATCAGCTTCAGAGAATCTCCCTGCCTCCATTTATCCCAATGGGGATTAGAGGACACTGTCTCCAAACATAACCTGGCCTGGTCTTTGCAAACTGCTGTGAAAGATGAAGTAAAAAGGGAAGAGCTAAGGATCCCAGAAGGACGGGATAACTGAAGGGGCAGAGTCCCTGGGGAGGGCTTGTCCAGAGCCCGATGGGGAGACCAGTGTTCAATGAATATGGAAGTGTAGCTGCAGGTAGCATGGAGATGCGGTGGATAAGCAGCACATGCTCATTCGGTGGCTTCTATTTCTCAGTGAAGCCCCTTGAGATGGGGCATCAGTTGATAGTGGGTAAGTCTGAGAAGGAGCCCTCTGGATCGGAACCTGGGGGAGTGCTTATAAAGGAAACAGGTCCACCTGGTGTTTTCCTCTAGCTTAGGTACGGAGAAGACAGGTGGGTGGGTTCAGACAACCCGGTTGTGCCCAGTGACTCCTTCACAGGGCATTATTATCACAATGTTCCCTGGAATTGAAGCTGGACCAGGAGGGAGGCTGATGGCTGATACAAAGGTGGTCAGGTCAAGGAACTGGAAATCTTGGCAAAGTCACAGAATTGTCCTTTGGAGGGCTGATCAAGGCCACCAACAACCTCTACTTCCTGTCCTTGCTCAGTCAATCCCTCAGCACTTACAAGACAGCTGAGCCCAACACTCACAGGCTTGCACCCTCTTTTTCTCAGGGACTCATTCATCTCCTGGCTTTATACATCATCTATATGCTACAGCTTTGCAAATGCATATTCCTGACCTCAACCTCTCTTCTGAGCTCAATTCATATAAGTAACTGCATCCTCAGTGTCTCCACAAGCATGTCAGGTATCTGAGACTCTCTATGTCCAAAACACCCACTGTAGGCCAAACTCACCCTCCCCAAGCCTGCCCCTCCAGCCATACCACCAGGGGCTCAGCCAGAAACCGCTCTCCTGTGATTTCTCCCTTTGTCCCTCACTGGCCCCTACCCCGGAATCCATCAGCGGGTCTGTCAATTTCACACTGGTCTCACAATCCATTTTTCCAGCCTCTACTATTACATCCCACCTCTTCATCACATCTCACCTGGAATAACAAAACATCCTCCCAGATGGTCTGTTCTCTCCACGGTTGATCTCAGTTAATCTTGTCATTCCCTGCTTAAAGCCTTTACACCGGTTCTCATTGCACTTAAAGTCCAACCCAAACCTCTTGTATGGTCCTGTGTATCTGGTCCCTTCTACCTCCTAATTTTATCTCCAACAGCAACTCCCTCACTTGCCAGCTTCCAACCATGTCAGCTTCTTAAGCAAACCCATCCTTTTCCTGGGGCCACAGCTCATGTTATTCCCTCTGGTAGTTCTATAGTCCCCATCCTTAACCCCCAAGGTTGGCTCCTTTCCCTTTCTGGCCCTGGCTTACAAGTCTCTTCCTCCCCTCCAGGATTCTCAATCCTCAACCTCGTTCTGTCCTTCTTGCAGCTCTGCCTACCTCTGTTCACTCTTACCTGTCATCCCTCCATTCCCCTGGGAACAGCACCCTGCATCTAAAAGGAGCTCAGAACTATTTGGATGAATGTGGGAGGAAGGATGGCATGAGGCCCTGTAAGATGGGGAGCCAGCCACCACCTGCCTCTCTCTCCCCACAGGAACCTGGCCTGGGGAGACGTGGAAGGAGGATGGAGAGGGTACTGGAGGCCACACCAGGGGATCTGGGGTGACCCCAGGCCCCTACTCCTAGGACAGATAGACAACACTAGCCTGGCAGTGGTGAGAGCCTGGGATGGAAGCTGTGGGCTGATGCAGAGCAAAGCCCTACCCCATACTTGACTGGTCCCTCCAAGGGGCCAGCTGTCCTCAAAAGGTCTTAACAGTGTCCAGATCAGGGGCTCCCTCAGGCTCTCTGGCAAACACACCATCAAGCTCCCCAGGAGGGGAATCCAGTCTTTCCTCACGTCCAGCCAATGCCCACTCTCCAAAAGGGCAGAGGCCCCAGTCCAGGGACCACTGCCTCTCAGCAGAATTACCTGAGCAGGAAGGGGCGGGGTGGAGCCCGGATATGGTCCAGGATGCGCTGAACTTCTTTTTTCATGAGGCCAGGCACCTGGCCTTCCCCAGCCCCTCCTGGGGCCCTCCCTGAGATGGCATTCTGCACCCTGGGGTATGGGGGTAGTGGTGTCAGGCTGTGACAGGCCTAAGATCTCTCAGATCACCTCCCTCAGATGCACAGCATCCCCAGGGAACAGCCTCCAGTCTTCATCCTCCATCTTTAAGTAAGGGCCCCAGGCAAAGCCAACACTAGAAGCCAGCCCTCTCAGCCACCTCTGCCTAGAGCCTTTGTCATCCCTTCAAGGATCCCAGAAGTGCCAGCTGGACCCCAGTCCCTGCCTCCTCACCCAGTGTTTTCCATGATCTTCTGCGGGGTATCCTGGCAGGAGGGTATTTGCTGTTCCAGTGACCACAAGAAATAGCAGAGCCTTCGTACTAGCCAGCCCCGAAACCTGGGCATAACCCCCAGAGCAGGGGGTAGATCTTTCAGAGGGCCCACACCCACTGGGGCCCAAAGAGCGGGCCATCAGGAAGGGATCACATCCCACTCCCATGGCCTGGGGACACCTGAGCCTGGCTTATCATGGAGCAGGAAAAAGCACATATCAGTCTGTATCCGATTCCCACCCATCTCCCCACTTCATAGAGGATAGGTTCAGGGCCTGACACAGTGGGAAATCCATAAATGCTCACAGAAGAAGTGCAGAAGAGCTCTAAGCCTGCCTCTCCCTACCTGTGGGGGTGCCACAGAGGCCATGGACACTTCTTGTTCCACAGGGCCCCAGTAGCCCTGAACCCAAGGGCCGAGCCCACAATCTGTCCCACCCCCAAGCTGACTACCTGGTGTTCTCCTCCTTCACCAGGATCACATTGCAGAAGCCTAGATCCATTATGCTTCTGTGGAAGAGGGACTCCTGCCAGAAAGGGGGTAGTGACAGCATGTCTTTAAGGGGCTTTCCCAAACCAGCAAAGGAAAGCCCCTGCTCTGTTTTCTGTGGTCTTTGCTTGACAGGACTCTCAAGTGTACCAGGAGACAGGGTTTTAGCATAGCATTTCCCTAAAGATGTTCAACCCCAGATCCTGATGCTTACTCAGGAAAAAGGGTTCTATATTCAAAATGGAAGGGCTGCAATTCTCTATGGAATTGCCCTCATGTTGAGGAGCACATTAAAGTCTCTGAGAAGTTCTCTTGTTGACAGCAGGGAACACGTAGCCTGGATCTCCACCAGAATCCTGGGTCCCATCAGCACTGGAACATGGCATGGATACACAAGAGGTCTTCAAGCATATGCTGAGCGCTGGATGACTCTGAGTGGGCAATATCCCCAAAACTGAACAACAGGACTCATTCAGTCACGGTCAGACTCCAACCATCTAGCCGCTCCCTACCTCCTTTCTTCTCAGGTCCCGCTGCACTACCCCACCCAACTCTCCCAGACCTGAGAGCCAGCCCCAGGCCAGCAACACAACCAATACCAGTGCATTCATGCCCCTGAAAGCCAAGAGCAGAGGCATGGACAGGGGAGGGCTGAGTTTGGAAGGACATAAAAAAAAGTTGCTTCCCAGAGCTGTGGCTCCCAAAACCAAGCTACCCCAAGCATCCCAGGTTGGAGCCTGGCTTTACCATCACTCACCCAGCTTTTGGGGGTGCAACCCTGGCAGCAGCGACCCACAAAGGGGCGATATTTCCCCAGGAATGGGGTGACAGCCTCCAGCTTCATCCCAAAGCTTGAGGACCACAGCCTGGTCTGGAAAGGACCACAGGGAGAGATGAGGGGTCTCAAGGTCCCTGGCAGAGGGAGGGAGGCTCCAGGAGTGAGGGACACAGGAAGGGAGGTAGGAGGGCAGAGGGTTTTCTGGGAATGGGAGAGGCCACACTACCTCCCGGCCACTCTGGCTGCTGCTCCTTTGCTGGGTCTGAAGTCTGGTTCCCAACATAGTGGATATGGGGGCCTGTAAGATCTGGAAACCAGCCACCTCTGCCTCTCTCTCTCCACAGGAACCTGACCTGGGGAGAGGTGGAAGAATAGAGAGGGTACTAGCATCTGGCCACAACTAGGAGTTCCTAGGGTGGTCCCCAAACCCCTACCCCGAGGACATACAGACAACACCCAGACAAGCAGTGGTGAGAACCTGGGCTGGAAGATGGGGGCTGGCTCAAATCAAAGCCCCACCCCATACTCATCTGGTTTTACAGTGTCCTTCAAAGGTCTCACAGTGTTCAGATCAGGGGATCTCTTAGGCTGACACTAAGGGGATCAGGTGTCTTACCATCATACCCACCCTGCCATCTCACAGCACAGACGAGGCTGTACTGGAGACTCAGACCCCTTCTGTGCAAAGGGAAAGAACAAGGCTGGATTGGCAGGAAGAGGCATCAGACAACCAGAGAGAAACAGGACCATTGCCACAAGGCCACCAGGTCCTGCCCAGCTGCTCTTCCCACCCCCCACCTCCCCACCCCCACCCTGCCCCAGAAGACAGCCCTTTATTCATTTAGTCATTACAGGAATGTGGGCCTATAGTATGAGGTGCAGGACGGTTGGGGGGTAAAACACAGAGAAATACCACACAGATACCTTTCTAGGATCACAATTCCTGCAGTGTATATAAACTCTGGCAGACTCATCCCAAATGCACTTCCCACCTGGAAAATGTCCTCACAGACATTTGGCACAGGGAGTCTCCAAGCCAGGGCTGTATTTAAGGAGTCCAACCTGCTCTGCAAGAAGGATGTTCGCTCCCCAACACCAGACTGCCCCCACTTTCAAAATATGACCCAGTAGATCCCTTCTAACCCTAAAGGGGTAGAGTAAAAGTCAAGGCCAGGGGTTACTCCCATTCGCCTACTCAGCTCTCACAATCCAGAATTCCATGCCGGGATAAATCTTTCCAGCTCCCCAGTCCCAAAAATGGGGATCTCAGTCTGTAGCTCCTGCATGGACACCCTCTCCCCAGCAGAGGTAGCAAACTGGCCTCAGGAGGGCCACAAACAGTTCACATATGTATTTTCTTTGGCAGTAAAATATTCTAAAGCTTGATGAATTAACCTCAACATTTAAAACTAAAGAGCTTGTTACATTAAAAAAAAAAAAATCAGGGTTTCCAGGTGGCTGTTGAAAAAGACCCGAGACCTGACATGCACCCAACAGGGCCTCAGCGGGCTGGAGCCCAGCGCCAATGTCCCTTTAGCCCAGCAGCACGCACCCTCCCATTTGCCAGCCCATCAATCACACTTGCTGCCCGGCCCCTGTGCACTTCAAGGAACCTGGCCTGGGGAGACGTGGAAGGAGGATGGAGAGGGTACTGGAGGCCACACCAGGGGATCTGGGGTGACCCCAGGCCCCTACTCCTAGGACAGATAGACAACACTAGCCTGGCAGTGGTGAGAGCCTGGGATGGAAGCTGTGGGCTGATGCAGAGCAAAGCCCTACCCCATACTTGACTGGTCCCTCCAAGGGGCCAGCTGTCCTCAAAAGGTCTTAACAGTGTCCAGATCAGGGGCTCCCTCAGGCTCTCTGGCAAACACACCATCAAGCTCCCCAGGAGGGGAATCCAGTCTTTCCTCACGTCCAGCCAATGCCCACTCTCCAAAAGGGCAGAGGCCCCAGTCCAGGGACCACTGCCTCTCAGCAGAATTACCTGAGCAGGAAGGGGCGGGGTGGAGCCCGGATATGGTCCAGGATGCGCTGAACTTCTTTTTTCATGAGGCCAGGCACCTGGCCTTCCCCAGCCCCTCCTGGGGCCCTCCCTGAGATGGCATTCTGCACCCTGGGGTATGGGGGTAGTGGTGTCAGGCTGGGACAGGCCTAAGATCTCTCAGATCACCTCCCTCAGATGCACAGCATCCCCAGGGAACAGCCTCCAGTCTTCATCCTCCATCTTTAAGTAAGGGCCCCAGGCAAAGCCAACACTAGAAGCCAGCCCATTCAGCCACCTCTGCCTAGAGCCTTTGTCATCCCTTCAAGGATCCCAGAAGTGCCAGCTGGACCCCAGTCCCTGCCTCCTCACCCAGTGTTTTCCATGATCTTCTGCGGGGTATCCTGGCAGGAGGGTATTTGCTGTTCCAGTGACCACAAGAAATAGCAGAGCCTTCGTACTAGCCAGCCCCGAAACCTGGGCATAACCCCCAGAGCAGGGGGTAGATCTTTCAGAGGGCCCACACCCACTGGGGCCCAAAGAGCGGGCCATCAGGAAGGGATCACATCCCACTCCCATGGCCTGGGGACACCTGAGCCTGGCTTATCATGGAGCAGGAAAAAGCACATATCAGTCTGTATCCGATTCCCACCCATCTCCCCACTTCATAGAGGATAGGTTCAGGGCCTGACACAGTGGGAAATCCATAAATGCTCACAGAAGAAAGTGCAGAAGAGCTCTAAGCCTGCCTCTCCCTACCTGTGGGGGTGCCACAGAGGCCATGGACACTTCTTGTTCCACAGGGCCCCAGTAGCCCTGAACCCAAGGGCCGAGCCCACAATCTGTCCCACCCCCAAGCTGACTACCTGGTGTTCTCCTCCTTCACCAGGATCACATTGCAGAAGCCTAGATCCATTATGCTTCTGTGGAAGAGGGACTCCTGCCAGAAAGGGGGTAGTGACAGCATGTCTTTAAGGACTCGGCCCTCAGAAATCGCGATCTTCATCATACCCATGGCAGGTGTTCCCTGAGCTGTCCCAAGAAGGAAGAAAGGGCGCCCGCCGCAGTGGCGGTGTCGAACTCCGACCCGATTCCCCCCAGGTCTAGGGCGACAGAAAGCCAAGGGCCCGGCAAAGCGGGGCTCTCCAGACCCGGCCGTCAGACCACGAACCCCACAGGGGGGCTCATTTGCACGTCAGGCCCTACAGCGTCGGTGCTCCATCCAACCCTCGTCAACCCTCCCGAAAGGCCGTCAAGGCTGGTCCCCAAAGTGGGAAGGTCCTTAGAAGATCCTGAGCCTGGTCCGACCTGGCCCAGCCCTGAAGCGACCCCGCGGTTCTCACCTCACACCAGCGGCCAACTCCCGCCAAGGCAGCCGCCCAGCGAGGAGACCGGAAAGGGCAGACTGGCGGGCTGTGCGCGCCGTCTGGAAGACATCCCTGCTAGCCAATTGGGACGTGCGCTGGGCCTAAAGCCACGCCCCCATCCCCATGTCGCTCCATTGGCTGCGTGGCCACGTTACTTTTGCTGTGGGTGGGGTTCCAGGACGGTTGGCTGGGTTCAGTGTGCTGGGTAGTGGTAGGTGAGCTATTGGTTGCGGCCTGGACCCTGCTCGCATTCCTAGGCAGACCTTGTAGGGTTGTGGGGACCTTTGGAGACGTCCGCGAGTCTTGGGTGTGCTGGGAGGATGGACAGGGACTCTTGGGCAGCCAGGTTCTAATGAAACAGGTTCCCAGGGTACGCCCACCACCAAGCTGTAGTTCAGGTTCTAGCAAAATTCCGAGTTGGGGGCGCTTAGAAAAGAGAGAGGATTACCAGAAGCCAGCTTTGTATCATGGGAAACAAATCAGACTTCTCTCGTGTCATTTCCTTTATTAATTAGAAGTCTAGAGCGTAGTCAGGGACACGCTGCAGTCACCGGGGTTTCAACTGGTGCCGGGGTTTCAACTGGCCCAATGACCAGCATGTTTATTCGTCGGGTTATTTGATTAATACCCAACTCCTGTCTCGGCCCTGAGCTTCAGGTGAACGAAAGCTATTGGCTCATTTATCTTTTCACTGAACCCATAGTAGGCAAAACATACAGAATACATGAAGGAAGGGATGACTGTGCTTTGTTCTTGCACTGCCCGCAGCCTGCCGCCCCCCACCCCCAACCTGTAATGAGCCCACTTAACAGTCAAGAGAATGCCACAATTTCAGAACGTTATGACACTGCGTGTGCAAAGCCGCACTGGAGCTGGGCTGGTTGGGAGAGCAGAAGGCTGGTTCACATCACTCCCTCCTCTCTGACTCACCACCCCTGATGTGACCGCCCCCACCCTTCCCCTCCAGGGTGTAATCATCTCTCTACCTTCTTTGTACCATTTTCTGTCTCTCTACCCAGTCCATATGTTTGTGTCCACTCACTCGATCCCAGGTGTGCACTTGGTATCCATTTTGTTCCCATCTTACCTTTCTTTTCTGTACCAGTATACACTGGTCACAACTAGTTTCTGAGATTCTGAAGCTTATAAAAACCCACCTTTAATTAGAAGTCGTAAGTTGCCTCCTAAGTATACACACTTGAATTTACCTGAGGCCTCTTTGTTGTGGGAACATAAGGTATGGGCTGTTGAGTTCTCATGGTTGTCAGTATGTCCCCACCTCTCCTTCCTAGGGAGGTTTAATGCTCAACAGTAGCCCCAAGACAGATGCACAGACTGGACAGTTGCATGAATTGTGACTGCAGAGACTAGGTCTGTCATCTGGAGTTCTGTCTTCAGTCATGTTGCTTCTTTGGAAGAAATGAGTTTTGTTTCTGTTTGCTACAATTTGGACAATTTGCTGTGGTTTGGGCATTTAAAAAGAAGCATCATCTCTCAGACTTGGGTCTTAGTTGGGGTACTGAGGATTCAATGTGTTCTTCAAGCAGTGTGCAGAAGATGTGGAGCTTGCCATGCAGCAAGTCTGGCTGCCCAGCAGACTGACTGTGACTGACCTGACCTTGGCAGAAAAAAAGAAACACATTTGGGCTTGGCCCCAGGCAAAATAGTCTGAACTTCGGGAGCCCCACCCTGGGCTCAGACCAAACTGCATTACCCAGAATATCCTGACGTGTGTGACTTCCTGGACCCAGAGGGACTAAGGCCCTCCCTGTGGTTGGGGGCCTGTGTCTCTGAATGCAGTGGGCCTTCCTGCTGTACATCATCTGGAAAGGAGGACCTAGGCTGGCCTTCATCTGGGCAGAGGGGCTCTGGCCCCTCCCTCTAGGGCTGACCAGGGAGTTGGGAAAAGGTATTTCTGGGATACCTCCCCAGGTCCAGGAGCTCAGCACAGTTACCTTTAGTCACCATTGGTTGTGCTCTATGTTGGAGTCCCCTTCCATTATTCTGGAAGCTTCCATAAAATCTTGTTAAATATTGTAGTAAACCACACAGCTGAGAAGGGAGCAGTGGAATCTGGGTGCTGGTGCAGGAGAGTGGGAAAATGGATGCTGGGAAGCTCCCAACAGATGCTCACCACACAGGCCATTCTCCCCCTGGCCAAGGTTGGCAGCTCTATGGATGAAAACTTGAGCCCAGGAGATGCAGGTCAGGGATGATAGGCCGTGGGAAATGTGAAGGCCTTTCATAATAGGAATCTTGGATTCTATGAAGACCAGAGACAGTGTAAAAAATTAATGGGTTGATGGCCTGAGGAATGTGTGTGTTGCATGCTACAGGACTCTGCCTCCACCCTGACACCTTTATCAACAACTTGGATGTTGACCCAAAGGTAGATTTAGCCTTTTATCAGATGCTATAAAACAAAGAGGTATAAATGGTATTTGCTGACAGAATTAGGATTCCAAGAGATTTTGAGAAAAGGAATTAGGACCAAAATGAGCTCCAACCTGAAAGTGTCTGGTAATACCTGGGAGATGACAGTGCAGAAAGCTGGACTTGTTGGGTCTCTGTCCAAGGAGACTTTTTTCCTTTCCAATGATTCTAACTCAGATAAACTTAACCTGAAAGAGAATGGGTTGCCTAAGGGCCAACTGATAGATGAACAGATAGAGAAGATGTAGTACACATACATGATGGAATACTACTCAGCCATAAAAAGTGAAATCCTGCCATTTGTGACAACATGGGTGAACCAAGGGGGTATTATTCAAAGAGAAATAAGTCAGAGAAAGACAGATACTATATGATTTCACTTATATGTGGAATCTAAAAAAATAAAACAGAAATAGACTCATAAGCATGGAGAACAAACTGGTGATTGCCATTCAGGAGGTGGAGTGAGAGGACAGGAGAAATAGATGAAGGAGGTCAAAAAGCACAACTTCCAATTATAAAATAACTAAGTCACAGAACTGAAAAGTACAGCATAGGGAATATAGTCAATAACCTAATAACTTTGTTGTGGTGACAGATGGTAACTATACTTATCATGGTGAGCATTTCATAATGTATACAACTGTTGAATCCAATTGTGTTGTTGTACACCTGGAACCAATATAATGTTGTATATCAACTATACTTCAATAAAAAAAAGAGAATGGGTTGCCTCATGTAACTAGAAAGTATAGGCATGCTAACTTCAGGCATGGCTACATCTGTGCTCAAGCAACATTATGTGGTCACTGATTCTCTCTCATGGGTCTGCACTACTTGTCTCTGCTTGGTTTTGTTCTTCCTGAAGGCTCTTCTCTATGCCAATATGACTGCCAGCAGCCCAAAACTTATATCCACCACCTTAGCAGCCTTGGTAGAAATCCATATGAAGATAACAGAGAAGATTCTGATTAGTCCTGCTAGGATCATCTGCCCACCCTGTCTACCAATTACTATGTCTAGGGGTTATTGTGCCACATTGGCTCCACCCAGACCACTGTCCTTTTCCCTAACTGTGTACAATGTGGAGACACCATGCCTGACCAGCCCAGCAGGAAAGGGGTTAGTTCCCTCAGCAAAGGGGTGCTGGCTAACAAAAGCAACATATGCACCATGCTGTCTACTGCTGACTTATCAACACTAGGCTGGGACCGTTTTTTCTGCTCTCTGCTGCATTGCAGGGACCAGCACTGTGGACTCTTGATGAGTGTTTGTTGAGTGATGAATGAACTTCCTTCTCTATGGACCTCAGTTCTCCTCTTCAGTTGAGTGGGGGGTGATCAACTTTCCTTAATTTGCATGGTTGGGGTGTGGTTCAGTAAGACTATGGGGTGCATGAACTTGGAAAAGCATGATTAATTCTCCAAACGTCAGGGACGCTGATGAACCAACCAGTGCCACCATGTGATGACTAGGAGGGTTGGGCCCCCCTGTGGAAAGCCAGGAGTTATTCTGCTGCTTGTGATCCTCTCACCTCTGGCCCCCACTTCAGGGGGTCCCAACTCCCCACCATAAGTATTTCCTCCATCTTGGGTTTTGCCTACCCAGAAAATAGGTTCTGTAGCAGGTGTTTCCTCCCTGTTGCCCTACTTGACTGGGAACGGAGGGAGTGGTGAGTGGTGTTGAGGGCCATTCCAAACCTGCTCTTACTTCCTCCTTGGAGATTTTCTCCTTAGCATTGATTCAGCAAACTTCATCCATTGCCTGCTAATTGCTGGATGGTAGCAAAGTTGGGATGTAGACACTCCCCACGTAGAGCCATCTCATCCCTTGTGATGGGTGGCTTAATATATGATGATGTCAGTCCTCCCTAAATTCATCTATAACTTGACTGTAGGTACAATTACAGTAAAAATTCCAGGTATGTAAGCTTACTTTGAAATCTGTAACAAAGAATAAAGGTCTGCAGATGCCTAAATAAAAGCTGGGGAAGGGTGGGCAAGAAACTCACCCTCCCGGATATTCAGGCCTACTGCAATGACATCGTTTAAAAAAATAAACAAACCTTCTCTGGTGTTAGTGAAACAACAGTAACCCATTGGGACAGCATGGAGAATTCAGAGATAGACCCCTAGTTATAGGGGAGCTTAATATATTATCAAAGAACGTCATAAGCCAGTGGGGAAGAGTTGTTGTTCTTATCGGGAAAACTATTAATCAAAAAAACAATAGTATCCCATACCTGGTGGATGCTCAGATGGTGGATTAAAGAGTCAATATAAATAGCCAAATTACACCATTGATAGAAAAAAGCATAGAGGGGAACATCTTTGAGACACAGAGGGAGGAAAAGATGTCTAAGGTAAAATTTCAAAGCATAATCCATAAAGCAAAATAAAGAGGGGAGGACTTTCTTGTGTCAAAGTTAAAGATATCTATTCCCAATGACACATGACAAAATGATAGAAAATATGTGCAAAGTCCAAAATTTACAAGAGTAGTAGAGCCTCAGTACACAGGGAACTCCTGCAAGAAAAATAAATGAACAAATGATATAAGCAGGCAGCTGTTGGAAGAAGAAACCCCAAAAGCCAAAAATAAACTTTTTATAAGGAGATGGCCAAAATCATTACAGGGAAATGTAGATTTTAATAAGATAGCCAAGCAGACTTTTCTTCAAAGAAGACATACAAATGACCAATAAGTGATGCTCAAAATCACTAATCATTAGGGAAATGCAAATCAAACCTCAGTGAGAAACTATCTCACACCCACTAGGACGGCTGCTACAAGAAAAGAGAAAATAGCAAGTGTTGGTGAGATTGTGGAGAAATTAGAACCCTTGTGCACAGTTGGTGGGAGTGTACAGTGTTGAAGCCACTGTGGAAAACTATTTGGCAGTTCCTCAAAAAGTTAGGAAGAGAACTACCATACGATCCAGCAATTCTAATTCTGAGCATGTACCCAATATAATTGAAAGCAGGGTCTCAAAGAGATATTTACACACCCATAGCAGCAGTATTCACAGTAGCCAAAAAATGAAAGCAACCCAGGTGTCCATCGATGGATAAATGGATACACAAAATGTGGTCTATACATACAATGGAACATCATTTGACCTTAAAAAGGAAGGAAATTCTGACTCATGGTATAACATGGATGAACTTTGAGGGCACTATGCTAAGTGAAATAAGCCAGTCAGAAAAAGACAATAACTGTACGACCACTTATGTGAGACACCCAGAGCAATCAAATCAATAGTGACAGAAAGTAGAATGGTGGTTTTCAGAGGCTGTGGCAAGAGGAAAATGGGAAGTCAGTGTTTCATGGGTATAAAGTTTCTGTTTTGCAAGATGAAAATTGTTCTTGAAATGGATGTTGGTAATGATTGCACAGCATGAATGTTCTTAATACTACTGAACTATCCATTAAAAAGTGGTTAAGATAGTAGGTTTTGTGCTGTGTATATTGTCTTGCCAGTGGGTTTCAGCCCCAGCCAAGTTCACTATGGATTCAATGAGACCGAAGAAATGACAGTGGAATGTTCTTGGAGTAAAAGGGTTTATACCCAACTTTATTCCCACGGTGGCAGGTCAGTCACTAGAATCCCATCCACTCAGAGCGAGTCTGCATGCAGT